TAACCACAACACAACAGATTCAAGAGGTGCCTAAATTACCTCGTTTTTTGGTTGGCCATCAATGGAGTAATCGTTCCAGCCCTGCTGCGACTTCCATCCACCCCGGCCTCGGTTGCTCCGATAGGAACGCCCACCGCCACGCCCCTGGCCCCGTCCACCTCGGTAACCCCCACGGTAGTAACCGCCGCGATAGCCTCCACGGCCACGGCTGCGGGTGTAGGCAATGCCAAATGTCTCGCAGTTCATCTTGCGTTCTTCCTTCCAGCTGGGGCGTTGCCTGAAAAACAAAAAGTTGATGAATTAGAAAGCCACAGAAAATTATAAACTTCAACCCCTTATCAAAGGGTACTGACAGAAGGTGAGGAATTCTTCACAGACAATGAGTTCTGTACTGATTAACTCTTACGCATATTAGATTTTCCTTTTCCCATACAAATGAGTGAAAAAGAACCCAACCACAAGTGCTTAATCCATATGTTCCCCAATTAAACCTACAAAATTAGACTGGTTATATCTATTGTTTGATTCTGTACCATTGAGTAGTGTAAGGGTGAAGCAACTGTTTTCAGGTTTGCACATTTGTCACAATTTTTTTTCCATATCAAAGCCAGAATGTCTGATTTCTCAGCACACGCTGTCCACTCAAGTTCTCATTCATTAAAATGCATTTTTGTTCAAGAGTGACAGATCCTCTACTTCAAACATATTGAAATATTCCTAGGGTGTTGGAACTTGTGTTCTTCAGATCACAAACTCTGAGCTTAGGTACTGCATCATTATGGTGACAGGAAGTCCTAGGCTACAAGTCCAATGGCTGGACTCACCCCTTGTTGAGCGAGTCGCATGAAATGTTGTCAAAGAAGGACTTGGTCGAATCATAGTAGGCTGTTTCCTCTTCTTCCGGGGCATCGCTTGGCTGCGTTTCGTTTCCAGAGTCTTCAGTCCCCTTTATGGCATCTCCGTTGACTGTTGCTGCAATAAAACAACATGGAAAGCAACACATGGGTCAGTCTCCACTCCATCACCACTGCGTTATAAAAACTGACAGCCAACTCACAAAACACGTAGAAATATAAAGCCTGTTGGGTACGCTCAGGTTTGAATAAGTCTTATGGCAAACTGAGATTTTGGATTTTGAGTTTTGCCTTCAATATTACTGGATTTTTTTTTTCAGATGTCATTAACCTTCTATGCTGAAGTCACTCTTTGAGTCAGTTGGTAAACAGCT